TTAGTTTCCATGTTATGTGATGAAACCCAGATCTGGGTTTGAGAAAAACCCAGATTTGGGTTTGAAAGAGGAAGAAGAAAGGAGAAGAGAGAGAGAGAAAGAATAAGAAGAAGGAAGAAGGATGAGCAAGGAAAGGAAAGGAAGAAGAAGATGAAGTTTGCGAGAGAACCCAGATCTGGGTTTGCAGAGGCAAGGGAAAAGGAAAGGTAAAAGAGAGAAAGTGAAAGAGGAAGAAGAGATGACGTGGATGGAAAAAAAGGATATCAAAAATTTTAAATTAAATAAAAATGCCACCTCATAAAAAAAAGATGGCCAACTGTGTTTTTCTTTTCCATGTCATTAGTTAAGCAAAAAGTCAAATGATTTGCTGGCAAGTTAACGTGACACCTGTCATTTAACTGACGGAAGGACCATTTTAGTACCAAAAATGAAAGTTCAAGGATAATTTTGGTACTTTTTAAAGGTGAGGGACAATTTTGGTACCAAAGTGTAAAGTTGAGGGACTAAAATGGTACTTAAACCAAAGATTTATGGAGTCTAGATAGGAATCTTGAATCTAGGAGAAATTGGGTGAGAGAAGGAATGTTAAAATCAGTAGGGGAAGGAAGTGATACTCTGTTTTGGCACAACATTTGGGTTGGGGAAATTCCATTTAAGGAGAAATACAATAGGTTATTTAGAATTTCTTTAGATCAAGAGGCTGTCATTGTAGATATGGGTAGTTGGAATCAAGGGAAGTGGGAATGGGAATGGAGGTGGAGGCGAAACCTTTTTGTTTGGGAAAACGAACTTTTGCAGGAATTAATCAACGAACTACAAGGAATCTCATTGAAAAAAGGACAGTAAGACACATGGATGTGGAAACACAGCTGAGAGGGCAAGTACTCAGTGCAAACAGCATACAAATACTTAAGCCAACAACACACTGCAGGTTTTGGCCAAAACTATGATCTGGTATGGAATAAAAATGTACCTCTCAAAGTGACTGCGTTTGCATGGAAATTATTGCAAAATAGAATCCCAACAAAGGACAACTTGATGAAGCGGGGAATGAATGGCCAAGGCAATGAAAAATGTGTGCTGTGTGATCTAGAAGCAGAAAGCGTGGAACATCTTTTCTTCAAGTGTAATGTATCATGGAGCATTTGGGCATCATGCTATGATTGGTGGGATCTCAAAGTAGCTGTCCACAGTAAAGGATAGCCCCATCTTGAGCAACACATTGGCATGATATCCACAAGTCTTGTAAAGGAAATGTGGACTGTCGTTTGGTTTGCAGCTATGTGGTGTATTTGGATTTGGCGAAACCAAAAAATATTTAAAGATGGAGCTGACACTAAGGAGCAGGTTGTTGAGCTGATAAAGTTTAGATCATTTTACTGGTGCAAAACAGCATTATGCCTAGACCTTGTGCAAGACAAATGGCGTTCAAAACCAACAGAAGGCTACATGAGAATGCAGCAACAAGTTTGAGATTATTCAGCACTCAATGGACATCACGGAAGAAGGTTTGATGACGATAGAAATATGATGGATTTTCACCCTTAAAGGCAGATAAATGTTTTGAAAACGTGTGTTTGATTACTTTCTGTTGTTGTAGGCTCCGGTCATATTTTTAGGAGCTTTTGCTATGAATGGAACTTTATGTTTTAGTAATGTAATGGTTTTTGAGTACGTCTTGTACTCCATAAATAATATATTTACTTTGCTGATAAAAAAAAAATAAAAAGATACATCACTTATAAAATGAGTCAATAAAATATTAAAATATAAATAAAATAATAATTGAATTTTATTTTTAATCATTTAGCTATTGAGATATCTTATGTAGTAATCTTATTTTTATAATGTATTAAGTTGTCATTAATAGTTATAAAGATAATGTAGAATTACATTATATCAGAGACATCCTTGATCTTAATTAAGGATAATTGATTACAAAAGCACTTAAATAATTCGAAAGTAAGTTTTAGGGCAAATTTCAGAAGGCAAACTAACTTGAAGGACTAACTTAAAGGTCATTCCTTTATGTTTTATGCTTCGAGCATTGCAGTTCCTATTTCTAGCTAAAAAAAATTCTTTTATTTAT